CTTGATATGTAAGCTCTAAAGTAATAAAATTCTTATTCTTATATAAGGATGAGAATAATAAAAGATTTAGAAAGTGAAGTAATATTAATTTCATAAGAATTTAATATTAATTGCCGAGATGCGAGAAAGTCGGTTAGGAGGAATTCCGAACACCGGAATCTCACAGCACCTCTCCTCGAGTTTGCGAGCGTACTCACGAAGTATCCGATCATTGCGGCGATCACCCTGCGCGTATCCCAAAGATATCCCGTCGCCCTTAGATCTCAGCAAGACACTGCGGCTGTCGACACGTGCGTTTAGATCCGTATTACGACTGCCATTAACGCGTGTGGTGCAATTTATAGGGGTACGAGCATTGATCGGGCGTGTTACTGCTGCCCGTGCCCCGCCTGACCCGGCGCGACTCGCGGGGTAACAACCACACCCAGGAAAAGCGTTCTCCTTAACTGCAACGCCGTGCCCCGTAACATTTACTTACGCTAACAATGGCACCCGTAAGCACGCGTGTCCCGTGGCCTCGTGTCGAGAATAAAAATGCGCCTAGGCTATGTCGTGTTAAACTATGCGCGTCATCTGCAGATGCAGTTTACCGTCATTAAAGTCACCGGCTTTCGCCAAAGTGACACTGGTACCGCGTAGCGACGAGGCTTATTAACGGCCTTAGCATACACGATTGGGTCATTTGTGCCCTGCGCATTTTTTTCTTTGAAATATTAGAAGCGTCAAGTAACTAGTTCACTAGTTATAACATAATAATAAGTACCAAATAATTATTAATTAATTACAACATAATAATAATGATAATAATCATACTTTATTTTTTAGAAATAGATATTTCTTTTCTAAAAAAAAAAAAAAAAAAAAAAAAAAAAAAAAAAAAAAAAAAATTTTATTTAAAAATTTACAATCACACGTAAGAAAAATGAATTGTTTTTATTTGTCGGAATGCCGCATGGAAGATGCAATGGATAAAGTTCTCGATAAATTTTCATTAGCATTTTATTAAAAGGAAAAAGTATAACTCCTTGCTAGACCGATTTACAATTTTATCTTAGACTTATATCTTTCGGCCTCAATCACGCAACGAGTTACACCCACTACACCCTGTAGTTTATGGGTTTATTTATCCGCATGTCATATCAATCACAATAGTATGTCAGGAGGTGGCGACAACAATAGTTGTTGAATAACTAAAACTGAGACGGTGGTGTCGCAACTGGCCACTTGGCCAGTTCATCGATCAAACCCTATTGGTACGTCTGATCTGAAAGGTATTGCGCGTTTGTCACCAACGCAATACCGATGTGTTTAGGCGTTTAGTCGAGCTTAACGGAGTGACAGTCGATCGTGAGTGATCGATACGCACGATCGACATTCGAACTCGTGCTTCTGAACCGTAATTGAGCTCGGCATGTCGCCAGCACTTCACCGCAGAACCGCGAGAAAAAGTTTATCTAACCGCGTGAAATAAAACATTTGTATTCGTTGTATAAATTATTCAAAAGGCAGAAACGCACGAAGGTAAAGAAAAAAAACATCGCATACAATTAATTTTTCTTTTCTAGCGGTCATTATTGACCGCTTCTGTTTTTTTAGATTGATATTTTTTATGTAAGAGATAGGAATCTAAATTTTTTACTTTATCATAATTATGTACCCCATATTCCGAGGAAACATCTGGTTTTTCATCACTTTCTTTATTTTTAAAATAATTTATTAGCTTGATCCTTTTAGTGAGTAAAAAACGTTGATACTTAAATTTATAATATCAAATTGAGTTATTTTTAACCAATTTAAGTTATTTTTAATCATTTTTATATAGGTCATTATAACATTGCTCTTACTAATATATTATATTTATTATAACTAAAACAATAAAATTAAGCAATTTAACTCAAGAAGAAAATTTGACTAAAATTTTATTATTTACTAAGTGCATGCGTTAATATATGGACGTTGTTTATTTTGAAAATATAAAGCAATTCAAGCACAGAAATGGATCGATTTACATTTTGACACACTTGAAAGTTAAAAAACTAGCAATGTATTTATTAACTCGTAGAAGTTGGATTATCATTGCTCCTTATCTAACAGGGTTCTAATGTTAAAGTTACGAAATTGTTCGCGATATTTTTGCGCCACACAAAATACAAGAAGGAAATCTCTGATATAAAATTATTTATTCACATGTTACATTTTTTTGTTATTGTATCGTTACATATTTATAGTGTGCGAATACAAAAAAATTTACGTTCATCCAAGATGCACACCCGTCAGCGTGAACGTAAAAAGACGTGTTGTGTTGTCACTTAATCCTTTGAAGTCGCTGCTTTTACGCTATTAATGCAGATAAGGAATTAGGTCCTTCCGGAAAACGTATGTTCCACGACAAAGGGGTTCAATATGAGATGTGCGGATAAGTATTCGCGTACGATAGATGAGCGACCTTGGACAGTTCGTGAGCGTGGGCGGTGAGATGCGCGGCCTTGGCATGGGCCACTTCCGGTGTATCCACTACTTGTCCATCGTGGCCGAGCGGTGCCGGTGGACCGTGATATTTGCCATGGTATCCGGAATAACCGTGACTTACGCCCACGGGAGCAATTATGCCCTTGTATCCTGCATAGCCTCCGTCATAGTAACCTCCGTCTCCGCCTCCGTAGTAACCTCCCCCATAATGTACCGTTTTGGCAGCTTCCGCTGCGTGCGCTGCTAGATGTGCCTTTTTGGCGTGAGCCACTTCCGGCGTATCAACCACCCGGCCGTCGTGAGCCAGCGGGGCCCCTGGTCCGTGATAATATCCTCCGGCATGCACTCCGTTAACGTACGGCTGATAAGGCGCGTACGTCGGCAAAGCCAGCGTCGACAACGAGAGGCACGATAAGACGATCTGAAAGGACGAATAGACGAGAGATTTAGTCGAATCCCCGAGATAAGGAACTATGTCAGAAGAGGAAACTGGAGGAAACTGCTCAAAAATCTATATGTACTGTAAGATGATTCACAAGCGGGATAAAATTATATTCACAATCAGACGTAAAACTGATCTGTCCAGTGTGTGAGAAAATATAATGACAAAACCTGGTATAAAATATTTCTTCAATTTAAATTGAATATTATTTTAATTAAGTTTAAAATATTATTTTTAATAGTATATAATTAAAAAATTATTATTAAAAAATAATAATATTGCAAAATATAATAAAAATGATGATAAACTATTAAAATAAAAAATAATAAAAGTTATAAAAATATTGTTATTCTAAAAATAATAATATAAAAAAAGTATTACTTTTTAAATAATGAAACATAAATATAATTTTAATTTAGTATTATTTTTTTAAAAATAATTTTTTTGTTAATAGACAATTGTAAAAATGAGAAATCTCAGGATAGAGTATCAATGTACTTACAAGGGTCTTCATGCTTATGAGCGCTATCCAAGATCAGGCGAATCTCTGACCGTACAATCGGGCTACCTAGACTTTATATAGCCGACAATACGAGCGTCTAATACAGACGTCTGTACTAAATAGAGTAAACGCGAAACGTTTTACAACATGGTCCCGCCCTGATTTTCATATGATAAAAACGCGAAAAGGTCCAATTTTTTGTTTAATATCCCTAAAGAGGCAAAATGGAGACATATCAAGTGGATCATTTTAGCGAAAGAACAAGAAGACAGATCAAAAAATTATAGCACAGAGAAAAAACGAGAAAGAGTTAGAAACAGAGAGAGAGGGGGGAGGGAGAGAGTGAGAAAGAATAAGAAAAAGTGAAAAGGGGAGGAATAGAGGGAGGCTGGAATGTCAGCAAGAACAGAATTATGATTGCGCCAAAACGCGAACGTTCTACAAGCGATGTTGTACAATTCGCTTGGCAAAAAGTGTCAGCGAGCGATGGGAACGTTTGATCGATCGCTGTATCTCGTCGATCTCCCGATTTATTAGCGAATGCTCGCGAAGAAAGACTGAAGATTGGACCCAAGCAGAACAACAGGTCACGATAACATTACATATAATGAATCATAACTGAAAAAGTAAATTTTAATAATCGTTTTGGAATCATTTTGAAGCCCTTTTAATATCATGATGACGTTTGTTGGGGAGGCCCCAATATAAATCAGGAAGAGCAGTCAAGGTTGAGACAAGCGTTTAATCGCAAGTTTTTAGACACCGTGTTTATTACATCGAGTTTAACATGACGATTAAACGCTGTCAGTTATTCATTCGTAAGAAGAAAAGCACTCTTTAGTATCTTTGAAATTAAAATTACTGTGGACATTGACATTCTCTTGACTATAATGAATTATAAAATACAGGTTTGCGCGCACTAATAACCATAACGTGATCCGCGATTTATTATCTTGAATTAAAAGCTACTCGAAATTCCGTCACGTAAAAGCGCGTCTAATTACTTAATGAGCCATTGCAATTTACTTCGAGAGCAATATAAGAAAAAAGTGCCAGTTAATAATTGCATCAAATATAATTGAATATCTGATCTTTTGTTGCGATATCTAATGAAAGATTAACAATTAGATAATTCAATCAACAATTAGAAGAACGATACTTGGATGCTGATTAAATCAATTACATCTCCGCATGGAAAAAGTGATATATGAAATAATGAAATAATTATATTAACAACATTAGCTATCAACAATAATATATGAATAACATATTAATATTAATAAAACAAATAATATTTTATTAAAATAAGGATCTGATGTGTTTGTTTAATTAATACTGTTATTGAGTTTAATTAATACTGTTATTGAATTAACAAAATTATTTTTAATTTCATTGATGTTAATACATCATTTTTTCTTGTAACATAGTCTCACACCGCTGAGAAATGTATTTTGTCACTTTAGCAAAAATCGAGCAATCAGTTGTACGAATATTAACCGAATATCTATCATTGGTGGGGTGATACTGTTAGGTAAGATTAAATCACCGTTTGTATATAAACCGAGCATTTTGCTCTCGATAGTTATAAAACGGTGACACTTCCATTCAGGATTGAACGTAACAATGAAGTCTTTGGTAAGTAACTTGATTGGATTACAATTATTTTTAACAGTTAACAAAAAAAAATCCCTTGAAAAATTTAATACTGTTACAGCTATGGGGGGAACACAAAAAACGTAAAATAGTAAGATGTAAGCAGTAAGTGAATCGGCCAATCACAACAGAAACGTGACACAATAACGTAAACAGTTGCAAATCCAAAATGTTAATTTGCTAATTGCTTGCGTCTTATTGTTTAAGTTTTTTTGTGTGCCATAGCTTTATAAGTATTAATAGTGTAAGTATTAAATCGATTAATGATTAATCACTAATTTTAAGTATTAATTTGTTGTTAATATTTTTAATGCTCAAAATAAGTAGATTATTGAAAACTTTACATTATCATTCTTATCATTAATGATTAAAAGATAAACTATCAGGATTGCGATAAAATTTAATATGAGAATCGCAAAACGATAAAATATTTCCCCTCTTCCGAAGATTAATTTTCCTAAAATATTAACGTTGAGGAGTGCCGTTTTTATTCGTCTTTGTGTTCATAGATTTTCTTAATCATCACCATTGCCATAACTTTGGCTATGCCAACGCATTACCAGTACTACGGACCACCGGCGCCCATAGGCCATGATGGCAGGGTCATGGACACGCCGGAAGTAGCACATGCCAAAGCGGCGCATCTAGCTGCCGTAGCGGAAGCTGTCGCGAAGGTTCCGCATAGCGTGGCTTCCTACACGGAAAATCAGGGCTATCACGGATATGCAAACCCCGTATCAGTTGATCATCAAATGTATCATAGCGGATACGGATATCATGGGCCGCTAGCCCCGTTAGATCATGACGTAAGATTTTTATCCTATTCATTGTCAGTCGAACAATTGAGGAGTTCGATGCAATAATACTCCGTGATTTGATAATGCAGAAATAATTTCTAAAAATGTGTTCAATTTTGATCAATTCTCTCGAATTCTTAAAGATATGAACTATAATTTAATAATAACAAAATATAATAATTATTTTACTCTCTGAAATTTTTAAGTAAATCTCACTCTTAAAAATTGAAAATTGAGGCACTTTTTTTCAAGACTGACTCAATTTTCACTCTTCGGATGAGATTCCAAAGAATTTAAAGAACACGCAACTTGTTAATTCCAGATTTTATACCATAACAGCAATAAAGATATTACTATTAACGATAGTTACATGCTTGAAATTTTTGTAAACTTTTAAAAATGAACTTTATATTTTGCACATAGTGGAAATTACAATAATTGATTTGAAGATAGTTTAATAACGTCGGGGAGGAAAGCCAGACGCAAGAACATCATTGCTCTCCATTTCTCATTATCCCTTTTATTTTCAGGGTCGCGTAATAGACACGCCGGAAGTGGCCCGAGCAAAAGCCGCGCATCTGGCGGCTTACAACCATATAGCTTCCTCGACACCTGTCGCGCATGATCATTCGCAGATTTACAAGCCACCGGTTTACAGTCATGACGGCTATTATGACGGTGACTCATCAAGCCCCCTGTCTCATGACAACAGAGAGATTAATGGTTACAATGATTACTGATTTTGATTAAAGGAACGCGTCAACGTGACCGTCGAGTTGTCACTTTTGCGATTAAATAATGACGACGCGTTCAAAATCGACGCGACAAAATTATGAAATTGGCGTTGCCACAAAGTTGCGCAATTGGAAAAAGCGTTCCTTAATTTCATATGGATGATAGTTTGTTATACAATGCGTTTTCAAGTTTCGTGATACATTGTAAATGATATGCACCTTGCATCATCGGCTTTCAGGCTGAACCGTAAGATGCACGCATCGAATCGTTATCTAAGACGCATTTTAGCCTGTAAGAAATATAAAGTATTCCGCTGTTATTTCCTGATTTCCTATTTTATTACAACAGTATGCTCCCAATACTGCTCTGTTTCTACTGAATTCTTGACTACAGAAGATTATGATGTTTAATTACAATATATAGGATCATAATTGCTAAAACTTAGATAGAATGTCGAACAGAATGTAATGTTTTAAATGATTGATTCTGTATTACAATTTATAAATACATAGAAGAAAGAGTGCGATTTAAAAGAGATATATATTTCGATACCTTACGTTATAATAATCTAATATCATAATACATATTATTGCATGTAACATTGCAACTATCTCGATTACGAAAAATCATATATTTTATTACGATGTAAGATTATGATTTCTAACTTAAATGGGATCGAACAGAATATAACATTTTAGTGATCGATTTTATGTTATAATTTATAAACGTTAAAAAGAAAGGTGCAATTGAAAGGGATATATTTTGGTGCAGCATGCTGTAATAATCAAATATTAATATCATAATAACTTTATCGTACATAATATTGATATTATATCTTTACTATGAAAGATCGTGTTTCATCACGATGTAAGATTATGTTTGCTAACATAAATAGAATAAAGAATATCGAATAGAACGTAACTTTTTAAGTGATTGGTCCTGTATTATAATTTATAATTTGTAAACATTAGAAGGAAGAACTCTATTTAAAGAGATATATTCTAGTATGTGTAACTGTGCGTTTGTGTGTGTGTTTGTATACGTATACTTTATGTTATAATAATCAAATCTTAAATTATTGCTATACCTTGACTACAGAAGATCATGTTTAACTATAATATTATGTAAGATAATAATTGTTATAATATATTGTTATAACTTAAATAAAATATATATATTAGACAGGATATAGCTTTTTAAGCGATGAAACATCGGCGCGATTATAATTTATAGACGCAAGAAGAAAAGACGAGATTTAAAGAGATATATCTTGGTACGGCACGCTATAAACAACATCATATCGAACGATGTATGCAACAAGCATACCTGTCAACATCCGCCTGCGGCCTCGCAAGCTGGCTGGCGGCATACCTCGTCATCTTTTTGCATTTGCGAATAAATCCGAGGAATGATTGATTCGGTCACTTAACCACGTCCTGAGCTCCCATTCCGAATACGTCGCAGTCGAATTCAATTCAAGGCTTGCAACATTTCACACGACGACTCCGACATTCCTTGAACTATTGGTTTTCATATTTTACGTCGATATCACGTTGACATCATTTGCGATATCGACAAATCCCTCTCAGCTCATAAAGAAACGCTAATTTTGAATATTTTATGATTAATGAAAAACCTTAATCTCCATTTCATTAAATCTTTGATAGTTATCTTTTTTGTTCCTTTTTTGCGTGTTTCCTTTCAATGTCTATTTACATTGCAACGCCTATTTGCATTCACGTTACATATATTTACATTTAATTTGATGGGATATAGCTGGCTTTCTCTTATTTTCACTTCTCTTTCGTCAATTTTGAAAGTCGATTTCCTCATAATAAAGCAATTTTCCATAGCAATTTTCCACGCGCGAATCTCAAAGTATCTTATATAATTACGCGTGTAATTATCTTAGCAAGGAATCGAGTTTATCGTAATAACCGCTCGATTCACCTAATCGGTACTTATAGGAATCGCGCTACGAAATTGATGAGTCGGCCCACACACGCCTGAGTTCGAAGGAAAACAACAAGTTAGCAAGCTAATTGCAGACGTCGTTTAATGGGTATTTAAGGCCATGCCTGGCTCGATTATGGCCATAGCCGTATGTGTGCCTATGCTAATAAACAATAGGGTTGCCAGGCGTGCCGAGATTATCTTGAATTCCGAGGAAAAGGGCTTTTGTTCCCCATGACAGTCACGTCGTTGCATATCTATGCGTTAATAAAACGCCCACACGAATACCAAGAAAATTTCTCGTCCAATTTTGAAATGGTGAAAACAAGTGAAAATTCTTATTCGCACGCATTTAAAGAGTAATTAACAACGCAACGTTCCGAACAGCGGTCATGCGTTACTCGTTACGAAATCATATGTCGATACTCTGCATACGAGATGTACCAAAAGTAGAATATTGCCATTTTTTAAATTGTTCAAGAAAAAGGGAAAACGTGTTTTCTTGAAAACCACTGCTTCAAAAGGTTAACTTTTTTTTTTACAAAAAATTATCGTAATAACTAAAGACTTAGTCATTACAAAAATTTTTAATTTAAATTCAAAGCATTGTAAGTGCCAACAAAAATGCAAGTGAAAATGTGGCATCGCCACACACACATACCTTATTTTTCATCGCTTGAAGCAGCACTTTCCATCAGATATTAGAATCTAGAACACAACACACTACAACTCATTCATAGAATAAAATGCGTTTGCACAATTTTGATACGTACATTTTACTATACTGCTATAATGTGATAATAACCTCATATTTTTATAGTTATAAATATGAAACAATAATTGTATGAATCATAATAAAATATCGAGATAAGGATGGTAAATAAAGTAAACCATTTTTATGTAGCAAATGCAATTGCAATTATAAATGACTATTTTTTAATCTTATTTGCTTACTATTTACATGGTAATAATAACTAAAAAATGTGTAGAAAATGTAAAGAAATAATTAATCGTTTTCATGATTTTTACGCCTCTATTCTGTAACTTTTAACCCTATATTTTGTAATTCTTAATTGTTTTTTATCATGTATAAAACCTGTGTAACAATATAATAACATCGACACTATCGATAAGAATTACAGAATAGGGGTCATAGAGTCGTAAATAAATGCATATCAGTTGTGATGATTATAATTTTTCAGTTGAAGCAACTATAATTTTCATGGTCAAAACAACTGTAATTGTATACTTGACACTGAAAATGACTATAAATTGTTAAATTGTGATAAAAACAACTATTTTTTTCAATGCGTTGTTTATAAGTTATTTTTAATAATACGATCTTTCATTAATCATTTATTAAACTATTTAGAGCGATTTTACTAATTAATCAATTGTGTTAATTCACCACATTTATGTATATAAGTACAAAGTAATAAGGTTAACATTTCGCCATTATGTGCAAATGTATCTTACAACTCGGTCGTGTTGCTCAACGATATTACGTTGGCGCGGCGCGTATAATGAATTAACGTAACGCTTACAAAAGCGAACGTTATGAATTTACTACATTTCATTTTAATAAATGTAACAGATGCGAATCGCTTAAATAAATATTAAAAAGTAGTTCTGCTTTCAAATCGTCCTTCCGCAACTACAAGTTTCCTTGAATAAAATTCTGAACGGTTTCTAGAAAATATTTTCTCTCTCTAAAAGATTCTAGAAAATTAATGTGTTTGAGGCTGTGTTCCAAAATTTACTGCCAGTACTGAAAATCTATAGTTTACGTTACGTGCACTATAGATTTTCAGTACTGGTAGTATATATTTTCTAGTACATAATTTCTATCTGAAGAAGCTATCGTTTCTGAGCAAATTCGCAAAATGCTTGATAATTTTCTCCCGCGAGATATTACCGATTCTTAAACATCGAGCGGTCGAAGCGATCTGCACGAGACCAGCACAAAGAGGGTTTCGTCAGGAAGTGAGACCTTGAGGAAGTGGAATTTTCAATCGAGCAAAAAGACGTACTTGCACCTGCCGATACATATCGGACGTCGCTCGTCAAAAAGCGACCCGTCCCGATCTCATCCAGGAAAAGTTCTCGATTTCGAGGACGCGCGGCCGACCTTCATTTCGCGCTCTTTTTCTACGTCGCACCTCATACATTTTAATTGCGTCTTGTCCCTCCACCTTTCGGCAGCTTTGATATCGGCAAGGACGGCCATTGATCGGCCGCACCTGACAGTATCGGGAAGTCATGGTATAGTTGTCTTAACGCAGTGAACGGGGATCCTCCGCTGGCGGTACGCAACCTTGTTGATTTTACTTTTTTATCGAAGATTTTTCTCGCGGATAAATATAGGGATCTGTCAATAAGGCACTGACAAATGCGATTATAAGTGTTCAATATCACACTTTTACACCTTTTATTATACTTTTAAACAGATGCAATGAAGAGATTGCATAGCAGAATTTATTGATCAAGATTAAGGCTGCATCCAGTTTGGATACTCACGCATTATAAGCTTCATTCTGTCTCCTTTTCACAAATAATGAGTGATAAAAATAGAATGAAGCTTATCATTAACTTGTAACTAGAACATCATATGGGTCTTGTTAAGTTTAGGACATTTTTCTAGTTTTCAAATAGTGTGATGATTTGGAATAATTTTGTTTCACAGTTTGTTTTATTTATGTAATACCATCATCGTACTATATTTATACTAACTATAATTTCAAATGTTGCAATTCTTAAAGAAAATAAAACTAATAGCAAAACTAAGTTAGGTTTCAAGGACTTACGTGTTCCTTTAAAATATGTATTATAAAAAATATGTATTACCTACTGTTACTAATTAAATTATATGCAAGATTCAGCATGGAAAAACTAACATATTTGTCTTGATGTTAATTACAGCGCTCATTAGTTAAGCTTCACTTAGTACGTTATATAAATTCACGTGCGCGTACGGGATGATGATAGTCTTGCACCTTGCGGTTACACGTCCATGAAAGGAACGCTCATTATCCATCATTTTCGCGATAATAAATAAGGTTTCATGGCCGGAGTCACTTTCCACGCAATTCATCAAGCAAAAAGTAATCGACCCTTCGTGCGGCGAACCACGCCGGACTTCCTGTTGGATCCGCCGCCAGGCCCTTGGCGGTCGCTCTTGACGACGATGATGAGCGTGAAAGAGCCGGCCAACGAAGTCGGAAGACTGTACGAGACTGACCTCGGTGATGCATCCACATCTGAGGAGAGGTGTATCCCTTCCCAGGCAGATTCAGACGGTGGCAGAGACTCATTAACGTAATGTCAATGTCAGATCTTTGAGGCATGACACAGGGTGTGGTCCCCCCCTACGGGTTGACGACTCCCTACCAGGATTCACATATATAAAAGGGGATACGAGCCTCGACACAGTACGACATAGCAGTCCATACTTTAGGGCGAGTCCTGGTAATCATCCAGCAGCGCTTCGTCACGTTGATAAAACATGAGGGCTCTTGTGAGTACCATCGATTGACGGCGGGCTTTCGAAAGTTAATCTTACGGGCGAAAATTTTATCCAATGGTCTACTCCATGAATCAACATGATTATTGTCAACTGATACAATATCTATTTATTAGTTATAAGTTTAATTGGAGCTAATATATTCTTCGTCATTAATTTTTTCCGTAGTTAAGTTACTTCAATTTTGGGGCCAGATATTTTGCAAATATTTAGAATAATTATGCACAGGATTTATTCGTGCATTTATTTTACAGATTGTTCTATTCGCATTCTGTGCCATCGCGACGGCAACACCAGTCTTGGACACGCCGGAGGTAGCGCAAGCGAAAGCGGCGCATCTCGCCACCCAGGCTTATGAGGCCGCCAGGAACACGATCGGTTACGGATGGCCCGGTTATGGATGGTCCGGTTACGGATGGCCCGCCCTTTATGCATCTGCGATTGCGTACGGCGCTCCCATCGGCGCGGATGGCCGGGTGATAGACACACCTGAGGTCGCCCAGGCCAAGGCTGCCCATCTCGCTGCTCACGCCCAAGTATGACACTCTTGGTTTAGAAATGGTTGCGCAAACGGCGACAGCTATTCGTGACCGATATTCAACATAGTATCGCTCATTATTATTAAACGTCGAAAGCCGCTGAGGCAACGTTTATCTATGGTATAGAAATGATATATGTATTCAGATGTAATCGCGATCCGATCATTTTATTCCATATCATTTTACTTCTGAGATTTTTTGGTAACGTTAATTCATCTTTTGTGATTCCTTCGCGTCGCAATGTTATGTCGACGATTTAATTAAATATTTATTCCCACAGGAGGCTGCCAAGACGATCGGGCTGATACCATACGGTGCACTAGCATACGCCACGTCGCCTGCATTCTATGCTTACGCTCCACTTGGACCTGATGGCAGGGTAATCGACACCCCTGAAGTGGCCCAGGCTAAGGCAGCACATTTGGCCGCACATGCTGCAGCAGCCCGAAACGCTGTTTAATGAATTAAGTAACCATTGGAAATTGCGTATTGATAAAATCAAGCTATCTCTCTTCCCAATCGTGAAAGTATGTACGGAGACACTGTGCCATGTTTTTACCATGTTTTATATGGATCTGATGTGAGGAAACTTTGATAATAAATAAGCCATTTTTAAGAATTGTATGCGGTTTGGATTCGTTCTTATTAAATAAATTAAATTCGGAAGCACTTGATACACAATTCAAAAGATAATATAATTTTCTTATATTGTGATCTAATGAGTGTTAAATAATCAGAAATAAATAGAATAATGAGTCTTTAAATACAACAAAATGTACACAAACGAGTTAAACTCTTCGTCACGATATATAATTTTGCACCTTCCGTCAGCAATCTGAGTCTTTAAACACATTTTCATTTTTTACGATACTATCCTGGGTATTTCGTGTCCGATCGATTCCTGTTCGTGCAAATTTCTCGTAAGTTCGACGAATTAAATTGTATACTACATTTTATTATTTATCAAAATAAAATTTAAACATTCTTTAAAAAGATTTCGGCGCATGGTTTGTAAAATTAGATGTGTACACAAGTTCATACAGAAATATTTAAGCACTAAAATCCGCTTTGATTAAATATAGACTTTCTGTTATTTAATTAAATTTATTCTCATCGGTCCAAATTCACATATCATAATTATTTAAATATTTGTTCTAGAAAGTTGAAAGTATGTTCGTGAATTTTTAGGGAGTGGTTCACTTGCAATTGTTCACTGCCAATCACAGCGACTTCTACGTAGGGAGTTTTTTTTAATTTTTTTTCTAGCTCTGTGATTGGGTTGTGCGCAATTGGCGTATATGATTGATATGCACCCAATTTTTTAAAAATTTTCAAATCATTTTAAAGATTTTTTAAATCATTTTAAGAGTAGGTAAAAAAAATAGACGATTTCAAGATACCCAGATTTGTACCAATGAGGTATCGTTTTGTATTTGATACACCGCAAGGGTTATATGGTTTCAGACTATATAAAAATCTAAAAAAATTTTTGCATACTTATGAAAGCTTTAACAACGAGTTTTTACTATCATAGAAGTCAAGTTGTATTTTAATTATTTTGTAAGCGTTTTCCACTGGAAAACCTCGTGCAGCACCAGCGCTGTGCCAGGTTTCGATGAAAACTTGAGTGCAATAATAATGCTGGTTTAGTTGTAGTTCAGGGAAACAAATTACATTATTCTCTCTATTGTCCATTTTATAACCTAATAGCAAAAATCTGGAGACACGGTAGTGCCTCGGCGCTAAGACAAACGCAAGGTTATGGCGCGAGACATTGCCGTGTTCCTTTACGCGAGCCGGCGAGCTGCGGCAGATTGAGATTATCAGATCTCAATAACGGCTGAACTGATCAAGTTCTATATACGCTCAATCGATAGCTATCACTCGGATTGTATAAGTGCTTTTATTTTTTTCTACGTACCCTACGAGCGGAGATATATATAATTACACAGAGCTAAATTGTTTATTTTACAATAATATTCTGATTTATTTACTTAAGTTTTTAAAAACTTCAAGATTTTTAAACATTAAAATTTTAATATCATTTACGTAGCTAGCTATTATTAGACACGCCAAAATTAAAAACAATATCGTTGTATGAAACAAAATCGTTAAAAAACAATATCGTTAATTAGAATGATGTTATACTTTAAAGCACGAACACAACCTGAATTTCAATTTGAATCGATTTCCACATCTTTAAAAAGAGAGAAAAGGTTTAATTCAGTGCAATGGTGCTTTTTTGCACCAGTTTTGTCAGTGGAACATTAAACACTGAAAATATGTAAACTGATTTTCATAGTGGAACGATACAATTGCACCCAGTGCTGCACTAGTTTCTTCAGTGAAAAATACTATACAGATTTAAATTTATCTACCAAAATTCATATAAAAAATCGACTGTTTCTTCAAAGTCCCACATTGCCGGTTGAGGGGAAATTAATTTAAATTGTTTTCTAAAAAAATGTTCAATAACCACATCATAAAAATTCTAAAAAAAGATTAATGGTCCAGACACCGTCATTCTGCACATTACTCGGCCTTCCCGATTTCGAGCGCTTTCCGCGCCATGGCCACCGCGCCGTCCTTGGTTTTATGACCGCCGATGAACCGAACCGAGTGCACGAATATGGCGCCTTCAATTCCACAGGCTTCCACAAGGGCATCAGCGCGCAAACCGCCCCACGCTGCCGGCAAAAACATCCTGCACACGAAACTTCCTAACGCTACCGGCATACATTGAACCCGATAAGCGTTATCAGCCTCAAAAATGGCATACTTTATTGACGGCGACACGTTCATATCCTTCTCCAGTTGAAACAAATGTTCCTTCCATGGTACTGCTTGCGACAACACTATTATCTCTCCGCTCGGATCGACCTTACGGAAATATTTTAAATTTATATGACAATCAGAATATCTAAAGCAAAAGGACAGATAGAGGAAGAGTTCTCCTTACTTCAAATCGACTCTCCACAGCGCGTCGCACGAGATCTCTTGCTGGTAACCATACGTTTTTCGAGTATTGTACAAATTCCAAAAATTCTTCCAGAACCAAAGCCATAGCTTTCTCAAATTGTTTCTCGATATCCACATTCTGACTGTTCCACTGAGAATTCAGTCTGCTTACGCGCGCGCTTAAATCAGTAACTATTCGATATCTGAAACAAACGCAAGTGCAATAATTTTGGAGAAGACTGTTATGCAAATGTAATGCCATAAGTGTTTAAGTGTCTGCTTACAATGGCTCAGCATCATACATGGGTATGCCGTTATCTATACCATCGATTTCCTTGATTAGAGTGTCGTAAATCTTCTTAAAGATCTCATCGATGATTCTATCCTCTGTTATATCTGAAAGTATACTCCTTAATATCTCATGTCCGAAATGGCAGTAGATCAGTCCAGCACTGCTTAGTCTTATTGTCCAATCATATCCTGGTTTTTTCATAACGGTACTCATCGATTCTTGGAATTCTCTGATACGAGAAAAGAATAAAGGTAAATGTTAAGATTAGGGGAACCACCTCCGATGATCTTGACCTTGATATATGTTGTCAAGGTCATGACCCTGAGTGACCTCCATCAGGTTACAAGTTGCGGTCGCTGTCTGTTAAAAAGTTATTGAGATCCAATTTTCTATATAATTAATATTTTGCAAATGTAAGATAAAAAAAATTGAATAGTTTGATAAAGATATATAATTGAATAAGTCCAATAGATTCACTGATCTAGAAAAATAAGAGTAAATTAAAAAGTATGCTAAGTTTACCTCATGTGATGGTCATAACGATGCTTTGATGGATCATACTCTCCACCGACGTCCACCACGATATCGCAAGTATCCAAGACATTCTGACTTCGAGATCTAAAAATGTAATGGAATATCCATGGATTCTGCAACCCAATATTTCCTATTCATTTCATTTCAATATAATAAATCATTTAATTAATGCCCTTTGCCGACTTTATCAATACAATTTAATTACTCGATAAATTTATTAGCAATTTATTAACAATTTATCAGCTATATATTGGTTACATGTTGAGGATATATTGAACTAATGTATTAGGCAATATTGTATCAATAATTATGCTATTAGTGTCTATATCTCTACCAATGTAGATTAACTGTAATCTTGGTTTAATTTACTCCTTAGAACTAAAAAAAGACAAAAAGTAAGTTAAACCAAGATTAAAATTGATCTACATTGATAAAACAGTAGGGTTTCAGTTTTAGCTTTGTAATAGTTACCTCACTATAGAAGCATCCTTGTACTGTGGCAGTAGTTTCAGGAGCGCACAGGCGAGGACCTCATCGCAATGAAAAGTCCCGTCGTGCGTACCGATCCTGACGGTTGACTTGCTCGACATCGTTCTGAGAGTGAAATCGAATAGGCACGTTTCCCGCCACGTGAAAAATTTGGAGAATTCGCCGGAACGCGCGTTTCTTTGTAATCGACTGAAAACTCGGATCATACTGCTAAATTACGCGACCTGAAGTTATATCAAGTAAATATGTAATATTACTATCAATCTTACGAATTCTCACCAGATCCTAACGAAACGTGAATTCCGCCGGAAACCTCTTTACATGTGGAAGTAATCCAAGGTAACCTCTAAATTGAGGTTATGTGTTCAGTGATGCATATATCGCTGACTATACGTTTTATAGAAATACATGTATACTTCATCTTTTTGAATCCAAAATCTTTTCCCTACCGGCGATTGGTTAATACAAATCGAATTTGAGTCCAATAGGACGACATACATAACTTGTTGATTGCTAATATTTTTAGGTTAAGTGAGAGTTATTCAACTACGTGGTTTATAATTTCCCACGCGAAACGAAGTTTATCAATTCACGTGCTCCTTCAGTTTAATTATTCACGTTCTCCTATTATATTTCCATATCCCATCAGTATAACATTATAATCCTAAGAAGTATAGTTCTCAATCTTTCAAAGCGAAAAAAGAAATGTGTTTTAAATGTAATCTTAATGTATTTAAACGTATTTAAAATTTAAAGTACGTTTAACTTTCCGAAGATATCAAAATCTATAATTACTAACACTGTGTCTGTAAAATTCATTTATTTTTATTAAAGACATTAATATATATAATTTTAAGGAACTAAAATAAGTCGAATAAAAAAGAATGAAAGATACTAAGTATATTTTAATAAGAACAATCCAAATTTGCAGATGCAACATAAAGAATTGAATTGTTTGATATTTTTGTGTAAAGTGGCAATTGTTACAATAATAGATATTAGAATTAAGAACTAATAGTAAATTTTCAAATTTTCGAATTGTGTCATTTTTCTTGTGAGAGTGCAATGTTTTACTACAACTGTAGTTACATTGGATATTAGTCAAGTTGCTTGTATTATTGTTCTTATATAATAACTTTCAATGTACTTACAGAATGGTGCAAGTGACTGGCCTTGTAGCAAGACGATTCAACTTGATGCAATAGTTCCTTGTCGTTGCCAGTTTCAAGTTTGTAGTGTGCTACCGCTATGTTATTTTAGTTCGTTTTAAGCTGATTTTGAAAATGCCAAAACGTACTTGTCCTTTCGAAGGGGACTGTCATCTGTTGCCACAGATGAAAATGCATGTAGGAGAAAAGCAGGTGGATAACGGTGTATCAAGTGACCAACGGATGAGAGATGTCTATAGTAGGTATTAAGCTCGCTTTGTGAGATGTATGCTATTTTTTAAATCTTAAAGCTCGTTGAGCTTTAAGACTTAAACTGAACCACTGAAGCCGATCGTATTGATTGGCATACTAGCTTCCTTTACTTTTATAAAAAAGAAGAAGGAACTTAGTTGAAACAGTATGTCAATTCAATGTGAATGAATCTTTACATTTGACTTTGTGTATACTTCCAGATAGGACTTTGAGTTTGCTTAAAGCAGGTGCGAAGGCACTTTCCCATAAATTAAACACGTCAGGGCAAGTGGATTCTGTAGACCTATCTTTACCATGTCCGTCACCTTGTAAATTCAGATCTATGTCCAGTATGAAACAGATGCTGTTGACTGACAAATTGCAGTTGAAAACTAGTGACAGAGTTGTCAATGTAGGTTGCGGAACTATATTGGCACTTGGATCATCTTATATGTCTTACATCTTTGTGACTTTGTTTTTCTTCCAGGATATTCGGGTAGACCTCTGCGGGTGCTACCGGTTGATAGATCGGTCTACAGTAAGCGCGTGTTATTACTGTGATCAGGCGTTGTGTTCCTCCTGTCAGTCTGTGTGCGCCAATTGCTCAGAATTGTTTTGTCATAACTGCTCTCTACCTATGTAAGTTATTAGCTATGTGTGCCTTTATAAAAGTTTAATATGTGCGTAACTATATGTATTGTCTCATTTCAGATATAACTGTGACGAACAAATCATGTGCCTTAATTGCTATCGATAACTGTCAAAAAGAAAGATATTTTTACGCCTTTTAACCTTTTACGTAAATTGATTTTTATTTTAATATTATTAATCATAACTTTGTGCATATAAATTATATAATATCTTTATGGAGATTATTAAATATACGAAGAACCTAGTAATTATAATTTCTATGTAAATAATATTAAGATATAAAATATTTTAAGTTATACATAATTTTTATTTACTTTATTAATATTCAAACATTATTTTATATGTAAAAAGAAAATTGTTACAAATATATTTTAAATATCATTATTCTGCAATAAGAATTTACAAAATGAAAAATAAAGTACAAATCTATGCTAAAAAAAAAGTTTTGTTTGTCTTATCCTGTAGGTGTCTTAAATATTGATGTTTCATTAGTATGTAACAAAATATAAATAATATATTTAAAAAATTCTTAAATTTAAAAGTAAGGAATAACGTTGTTCATTTTTTTTTATTTAATGCGAGTGGCAATTGTAACTTAGGATTTTTTATATTTTACACACAGTACATCTAAGTAGATTATGATTCTCGCTTCTCTTACTTTTAGTTGTAAATCACAATCAGTCGAAGATTTTTATATGAAATCTTCTGAACTCATTAAAAAATGTTTAATTTAAAAATCTTAGTTGAGAATATAACAAACTTCAAAAAATCTTTAATTCTTCTAAAATTTCCTAGTATATTTTTTATATAAAATAGTTTTGCATTTTATGTTTATTTTAATATCTAGAAAAAAGAGTGCAATTTCTCGTAGTATATAAAACGCATACAAGATATATATAAAGTATATAGAGACGTATATAGAAACTACTTATATTTTATAAAATATACGTAAGATGTAATTTTTCTCATTTACTATTTGAATTAAGTACGTCTGTATATAGTTTCCCAAAAGTGTGAAAACCTTATAATATAATTTTTGTAAAAACGAAGATATCTGAAAACGAAACACGTGTTCCGATATTTCAAAAAAATATTTCTTTAGCGCGAGTGCTAGTCAACGACCACAATACACGAGAGCTATTTTAATTTATTAATACGCAAAGTGAAAAAATAGTTTTTTTAAGTTAAATAGGAATTTAGAAATTTTTCTTCGATTGGTCTTCTCCCAAGACCACAGGCGAGATTAGATTTTGAAAGGATCTGTTGCAGTCGTGATTCTTCATTACGAATTTTCAGCGTCATCTTGCTATTGCAATCTTCTCTTCAATTAACGTAAAGAAGAAGAAAGCGTGGTCAACCCTATGCACCACACTCCACACTATCGTATAACCAGTAGGGATATTCAGGGATACTCTGTGAAAAAACGCTGCCCAGTGTATTAATATCACAAATTAAATTGATGTGAATTGCAGCTGCGACATTCTCTCATGTCTGCACACAGAATTTTAAAGAGAAACAAATTACCACACTTTTGAGAAACCCTGTATAATGAAATAAGACTATATTGTTTATACTCATATTAATTGTAATGAAAAAAGTATCATATCCCGCTATCAAACATTTATAATTAGATAAAGCAATATTATTTATACATCTTAACATATAAAATCTATAAAAATATATTAACTGATTCGTTTGAGCATAAATATCACTCAAATTAATTTGTCAAGTAACAAAGTCTTATATGAATTACTGTTATTGCTTCTGTGATGCAGCTTATTTTTAATGTGACAGATGAAAATTGTCTTGTAAATATTATAAAATTATTAGTTGTGACTCTTTACATTTTTCTCCGTTAGTTTTATTATAAGATAATATAAAAAAAAATTATTGACAACATTCGATTAATTTTCTACAAAATTAACAGAAGAAAAAAATGCTTATCAGATAATACTCTTATAAAATTTATGCGGAAGTTATGTCCGCAGAGTTCTTCACGTTTTTACGATAATTTGAAAAATCCACGGCTAAGTCAATTTCATCTGTTTCCTCGCCAAGAAGATGGCCTTCCTCGATTTTTGACTTTCCAAATATTCTGTAAATAGATTTTGTGTGATGCGCTACATTAATTTTAATATTAGCTAATTTTTCACTATCCAAATAGGTTTATATGTGACAAAGGCATATAGCATAATAACACATTATATTAGTTATATAAATGCACTTCAATAAATTATGTATTTGTTATTTTTCCCAATGGAGATGTAATGTATTAACGGCAATGAATAACATAAAAATCTGCATAAAATGTACTTCTTTTCATGTAAAGTACATTCTATGGAGGTAATTACTGCAAATGTATTAGTCGCAAGTAGGATTAGGTAATGTAATTAAAGATGCACATATGAGTATTTATCCATCGAAAATATTTGTACAGTAGAATAAAATTCATACATTATGTTCATACAATTTTTCGGACATTCCAGTATAACCTATTTACATATTTTACTAATTACCTATATAATATTTATTCATTAATTACTCAATCTCCTTCATTATTTATTATAAAGAACTATACCTATAACGAAGATAATTTCAATTAGATAATACATTTCTCCGCAGGCGAGAATGTTCTTTTTCTCAGTCTTATATTTTGTTATAAGTAACAAACCAGCATTTCTTGAGAATAAGTAAAACTTTTGTAACATATGAAATAAAATCTTCCAGCAGAAATCATAATTTGAATCAAATCCAATCATTATAAAATAAGAATAACATAATCTCATACATGAAGTTACAGCTTAATTTAACAAAACATACAGAATGATTCTTAATATTCAATATATATTGATATCAATTAATTTTCTTTGAAGTCTCTCAAATAATAAGTTAGGCAGAAGTTAGATTTTTTATACTTTTGAAAAATTTTAGAAAGTGAAAATTATTAAGAAAATATATTTCGGAAAAAAGTTATAAGAAAACATTCATCGATATTATTCTGAAATTAAAATCAAAATATGCAATTAAGAATCATCATGTATAAACATTATGTATATATAATATATAAAGTTATATATATATAATATATATATAATATATTTTACAAGACCTGAATTTATCAAAACAAATACTTAATTAAATTATATAAGTTATTTACAAAGGATATTAAGCATGAAGTTATTGATTAGTTACATATGATTATATTATTCGCAAATAATAATAATTATAAACACAATATTCAATAAGCAATAAGCGAAGAGAGGGAACAGCATAAGTCGCATTATCAAAAATAATTTTGGCATTTTGTACATGGTTAGTATAAGAAACAAATAATTTCCTCCCAAAGTTAACATCAGTTAGTTGTGCAGAATGTTAAGCAATGGAGTTGCTGCCAATGGAATTTTGTAAACGCAACATATTCATTTGCCTATACCTGGACAATGTGGATGTCGATCTGTTTATTGGTACGACTGAATCATCCAATCCACGATGAAGTGATATTGTATCCAATTCAATCGTTCGAGCTGTAGAATGGGCTTGCATAGCTGCTGTATATTCGGAAGTTTCCAATGTGGTTTTAGTTGGTTTATGATAACTGCACAGATAATCAATATACATTAAAACATTCTATTCATTG